ATTAAAAATGAGATTGGGGAGTGGACTACTGATTCGAAGGATTTAGTGGAATATGCAGTAAGATATTTTGAAAATTTGTTTCTGTATGCAGATGGTGTCATTGAGGATTATCCTGTAAAGGGAGCCTTTCCTAAGTTGGAATCTCTAGAAATGAGCAAGTTGGCTAGAATTCCTGATGAGGAGGAGATCAAGAAAATTGTTTTTAAGATGGGGAGATTTAAAGCCCTAGGGCCGGATGGTTTACATGCTGTTTTTTATCAATCTCAGTGGCATCTGGTTGGAAAATCTGTTTGTGAGTTAACCAGAAATATCTTCATTGATCCTTTGATGGTGCAGAGGGTAAACCAAACTCATCTTTGTTTGATTCCAAAAAATGACAAACCCGAATGTATGAAAGACTTCAGGCCTATAAGCCTATGCAATGTTTCTTACAAGATTGTGACCAAGATTATTGCTGACAGATTGAGAGATTTGATGCCTAAACTGGTTGCTCCTAATCAATGCTTTTTTTGTTAAAGGAAGGCATAGTGCTAATAATATATTGGTGGCTCAGGAGATGGTTCATTCGATGGAAAACAAAAAAGGCAGGCATGGTTGGATGATTATCAAGGTTGACCTTGAAAAAGCCTATGATAGGCTTAATTGGAATTTTATACAGGACACTCTTAGAGATTTGGAGCTACCTAGTAATCTGGTCTCTCTTATTGACAAATGCATAAGTACTAGTGAGCTGATTATGCTTTGGAATGGTCAACCTACTAGATTTTTCAAGCCTTCAAGAGGAATAAGGCAAAGGGATCCCCTTTCCCCTTACCTTTTTGTTCTATGCCTTGAAAGACTTGGTCACCTGATCCAAATTGCTAATGAGGTGAAGGCCTGGAAACCTATTATTCTTAAGAAAAATGGACCTCCAATATCCCACCTTTTCTTTGCTGATGATATTTTGTTGTGTATGGAAGCTTCTCTGGAACAGGCCCATGTTGTTAACCAGATCCTCAGGATGTTTGCTGAGAGCTCTGGTCAGAGTATAAGTTTGGAAAAGACCCGAGTTTTTTTCTCCAAGAATGTTAAGTTCCAAAGATCTAGTGAGATAAGTGAATGCTTAGGTATAAAAAGCACTCCTAACCTGGGGAAGTACTTGGGTGTCCTCTTGAATCATTCGAGAGTCAGCAAAGCTACTTTTGGTCATGTGATGGATCGGGTTACAGGATGAATGCTTGGAATGTCAAGTCCTTATCTTTAGCTGGTAGATTGACTTTAGCCAAGTCAGTAATATCTTCCATGCCTACTTATGCTATGCAAACAGCTTGGATCCCTAAAGGAGTGTGAGATGATATTGAAAAACACACTCGTGGCTTTATATGGGGTCTTCTCAAGAAAAAAGAGGAGTTCATTTGGTGAATTGGGACAGAATGTGCACTAGCAAACAGTCTGGAGGTGTTTACTTGAGGGATTTAAAAGTCTTTAACTAAGCCTTTATGATGAAGGTGGGATTTGGTATCCTCACTAAGAAGGATACCCTTTGGGCCAGAGTTCTAAGGAATAAATATAACCTGGAGGAAGGGCTATTGCCTAGAATTTCGAGAACTGTGGGTGATAGCAATATATGGAGGGGGATATGCTCATCATGGAATCACATTTTAGCTGGCTCCAGTATTCTGATGGGTAATGGGAGACTTGCAAAATTCTGGTTGGACTGTTGGGTTCCTAGAATGGGTAGACTTATAGACAGAGCTGTCATCAATGTCCCTGAAGATGATCTAAAGTGGGAGGTCTCCTACTATGTGGATCAGAATGGTGGCTGGGATTGGACTCGATTGAGACTAGGGGTGTTCGCGGTCTGGATTGGATCGGTTTTGGAAGCAAAAATCGTCTGATCCAATGTCTTCGGTTTGATCATGTAATCATCCATTCGGTTTGGATTTTTTTTCAAATTCGATCCGATCCAATCTAATTTTTTTCGGTTTGGATTAGATCGATTTTCGGTTTTTTGAAAATCCTAAAATTTATTTCATGATTATTGTGCAAATAACATCTTTTATGTATATTGACTTTGTAATTTTTTTTTTTAAATACAAAAGCATTAGATAATATAGTTTTTTTTTTGGACTATAAGATATGAAGCTCTACATAGATGAAATTTGTTGATGAGATGTGACTAGATTTTTTCTTGAGTTTAGTTGATGGATTAATAGGTCTTGAGTTTAGAAATTTTTGGGCTATGATTGAAGAAAGACTCAAGTAAGTAAAGGAAAATTAATATATTGGATCGATTTGGATTGGATTGGATCGGTTTTCCTCTACCAATCCGAAAACCGATCCAATTCAATTAAAATTTGCGGTTTTTATTCGGTTTTCGGTTTATTCGGTTTTCGATTTTTCGGTTCGGTCACCGCGATTTGAATTGGTTTGGATCGGTTGATGAACACCCCTAATTGAGACCTTACTTTACTGAGGAGGTGTGTGATGCTATAGCTGGTGTTGAGGTGCCTAAGGAAGAGGATAGGGAGGACAGTATCATTTGGAATCCATCTAGCAATGGATTGTTCACTGTCAAATCTGCCTATCATTTTATTAAGAATGATAGTGCTAATATTCTGAACCAGAACAGTATTTGGGAGTTTGCCTGGAGATGGAAGGGTCCTGAAAGGATAAGGCATTTTTTATGGCTTCTATTAGGAAACAACCTCTTAACTAATGATCAAAGAAGTAAAAGGCATATGGGAGGGGAGGTGGAGTGCACCAGATGCTTCTTTCGCTGTGAAGATTGCAATCATGTGATGAGGGAGTGTTCTTGGGCTAAGCAGGTCTGGATTTGTTTAACATCTAAGTCCAAAAACAATTTGTTCTTTGAAGGGAGTTTTGCTTAATTGCTTTAAAGGAATTTGGGAAAAGGGAAGGAGAAGAAGCATGAGCAGGATTGGAGCCTTATGTTTGGAGTTACCTGTTGGCTGCTATGGCAAGCTAGAAACAACTTTATTTTTAAAAAAGAAGTGTGTTCCCCTGAAAGCTTATGTTATAAGATAAAGACTTATGTTGCAAATATGTTACATGCTGCATCAACCTTAGATGTCTTTGCAGATAGTTTGAGAAAGATGAAGGAGAGTATTGTGAAGTGGAGTCCTCCTCCAGAGAGATGGGTTAAAATCAACACAGATGTTGCTTGTTCACTGGATGGCAAGAAGAGTGGCTGTGGAAGTGTTTTACGCAACAATGAAGGAAGGTGGGTTGTTGGTTTTATGAAGAAAGTGGGGCAAGGAAATGCCCTGAAAGCTGAACTTTGGGGTGCTCTTATGGGATTCCATGTTGCCTGGGATCATGGCTTTAGACAAGTCCAATGGGAAGGTGACTCTATTGAAGCTCTTCAGCTGATTCAAAATGGTTGTGATCACGACCACCCTCTGTTTTAAGTGGTGCAGAGAATCCAGGAGGTGAAAACTAGGAACTGGAAGGTGATGCTCAATCAAATAAACAGGGAAGGAAATGAAGTAGCTAATTGCTTGGCTAGTAAGGTTGATCATACATCCTGGGATCTTTTTGTTTTGCCTAATGCTCCATTGAGCTGTAGTAGGTTTTTAGTGAAGGATCTGATGGGCTTTAATACCCATAATGATCCTTAGTTAGTTTGTTTCGGTTTGTTTACTTTCCCTAATATCCAAAAAAAAAAGTATAAATCATTTTTCTCAGTAAAGTTTTACATATACTTCCTAGTACTTCACTTTGGTGACCCACACAAATCGAAGTAAACAACACACCAAAGTGAAGCTTTATTGAGAACAAACAAAATGAGCGCACAAGGAAATAGATTTATTTTTGGACGAACAAATACCCTAGGGTTGCAAGGTATTTTTGTCTCACAATTGCGTTTTCATTTTCCATTGGAGTGGGATTTGTGAAATACTACATTTGTTTTTAGACTATGTAGACACTTTTCTTTGTAAATGAGAATACCGATAAACAAGTTTGGAAAACATTTTCGGTTATCTTGTACCAAACATGACATTTTATGATTACCAATGTAACTTTCTCAGTGATATCAAAAAATATCTTGTACCAAACCAATAGCGGATCTAGAATTTTTTTTTAATGGCTGCACACTTAGAATAAAAGAATAAAGGAAAAAAATTTTAATTTGTTTTTAAATATATTAAAATACAAAAGAATATAAAAGAAAACTTTAACTTAATATAAAAAAAACTTTAACTTAATATAAAAAAAAAGTAATCAAGAGTCAACTAAACTGTTACAATAGAACATTTTGAGTCCTCAACAAAAATTATAGGCCTCAATTTAATCTAGGGAAAAAAAGTCTACTCGTGATCCCTCAGAATTCAAAAATAGACTCAGATAATCAAAATCATGGTCATTTGAAATTCAAAAAGACCCACATTAATCCTTCAAAAGAACTAAAATAAGTCTATTTTGAAATTTAAAGGGATCACAAATCAACTTTTTTTAAGAGATTAAATTAGATCCTGTAATTTTTGTTAATGACCCAAAATATATTTTATTCTTTTTTTTCTCAAAAAATTTGTGTGTGCACTTGCACACACACACAGATCCGCCACTGTACCAAACACACCCTTAAATATAACTAGTTTTACATAAACACTTTCTATCAAGTTTAAAATTTTGAACTCAGTACTCTTAAATGAGATGAATTATTATTAGTTTAATCTGTAGATGTGCGTATAATAAGAATCGATCAGTCTGAAGTAAGTTTTACCGAGTAGAGTTGTTAACCCTATTTAAGCTCTCACATAGGCATATCTGCATAACTAATTTAAATTTTCCTCTGCCGAACTTAGGTGTAAACCCTTGTGCAGTAGCTAGTCAAGGTGCTGTGGAAATAACATCATCTACATCATATCGACTATTTCAATATTGGAACATATGTTAACCGAAAAATGAAAGCTTGCTCATACGATGCGTATCGTTTATCAACTTGCCAGCCTTTAAATATATGGTAAAATAACTAGATAAATTATAATTATATACACAAAGAAACCATACCGGGGGAGAAGGGGGAGTGGACATCCTTATGTCTAAAATAGTCTTAGGTTACATAATAAGAGACTGCCTGAATTAATTCTCTGCCGCTGGTTCCATCTCTCAATCAGAAAATCTTCATTGCTTTTAACTTTGATGTACTCATCTATATCATACCTCAATCCTTTGGATTTAGTAGAGACTGACTGGTCCGTATAACTATAAACTTCTCCAAATTTACTGAATACGTCCTTTCCAACATACTCCTTAAGGCCATCAGGGCTCCAGCTTCCACGACTGCTGACAGAATGGTTACTTTCATCTTGTGCTTTGGTGATTTCCTATGATAATATGAATGAATTTCAATGATTCGAGTCACATAAATGGAGAAAATAGGAACAACATATCAGAAAATGTGGGTCAACAATCTTTGGCACTCTGGAAAGTTTTTCCATGTCAATGACAAAATTGTACAATGTCTTCTCGATCCCTTGAATTTAATCTTACTCACTATTAAAAAAACTCAAGAGTATGCAACTTATGTGGGCAGATGTCTGGAGTTTTTTATGATAATGTGCTGGACACCTTGTGACCATGTTGACACCGACACAAAACATGTATGCCCGTGTTCAGATTGATTTAAACATATTCCTTAAATCAATTTTTTTTAAAAAAATTGCAATGGAATAAACAAATCTTTCCAATTTTCCAAAACTTCAGCTTTTAGCAGCCAATGAAAGCGTGCTTGTGAAATGTGATACAGTCAACGTGAAGACACACATTCATGTTATTATTCAAATGATCATGTTACTCCCATGAATAATCTGAATAATTTGATCTCAAAACACATTTCATTTGAAAATAATTTGACAGTTCAGTGATAACCTGAGTGGAACTTGAAGTTTTTGGAGACAACGTGGAATGTGACTTATTCAGGCTTGTTATAGGAGAAGTGTCATTACTTGTCTCCCATTGCAACCATGGCAACGTAACCCCATCCATCAAAACAGGAAGAGATCTAGGCATTGCTGGATTATTTAATTTTTCAGGTTTTATCAGTCCTCCAATGGATGAGCTTGTGTCACTCCTTTCTCCATCAAGTGACGAAATATCGGTATCTTCAACATTTGAAATAAAATCCTCAATATACTTCTCAGCCTCCTCAGTCAAGCGCAAAGACATTCTGCTTCTGTCATTACTCTTCTGGAAAATAAAATAAAATAAAATAAATAGCTGATTAAAAAATCAAACAAATAATCCATCAGCTCTTCTTTCACAAAGAAATACTAAAATTGGTTTAATTCAAATTACAAGGAAATCATCATCAGAACACTGAGCATGACAGAGACATATACCTTCCTGGCTCTCAATGGTTTTTGTGTAGAATTGTTCTTTGTAGCAGGAATCAATTCATTAACAATCATAGAAAGTTCTCTGCCTCGCTGCTCCTCAAACACTATTCGAGCTAATAAATCCTGTTTTCGCTTCTCTGACTGTAATTTTAAACAAAGAAAAAAGGAAAACATGATTCTATTTGTCAAACAACTTCGAGCCTCTAGGATTAAACACAAAAGCAATGGGAATGGCCTAGTCCTCCTTTTTACATTCAGGGAGTATTACTAGTGGCTTGGAAATATATTTTTTAGTACACTGTCACATACTTTAAAAGAGGAACCAATATACCTTACTTTCAGAAGAGCAATAGTAAATTGCAAGTAAGTATATATTATTCTATTAAATGGTTCCCCATATAGTGTGAGCTTCCCTAAAAGTATTAACATGAGAAATAAAAAAAAAAAGTTTTCCTGGGCTAGTCTGGAAACTTTACTCATAATCCCAAACAAAATCCAAAATATCAATTAGAGAAGGGGAGGAGTACAATATTATGAAGTCAGTAATCAATATAACTCAGAATTTCATACCAATCCATAAAAAAAAGGGTAAATGCTAAAAATATGAAAGTAAGTTTTGTAGAAAAAATGATTTTTAACTTCATTTACCTGTTCCAGTTCCGTTTCATAGTTCCTTCTGATTGAAGAAACAGCCTGAATAACATCGGAATTGTTTGGCATCAAGCCATCACCTGCGGATAAAGTGGATGTTCTTGGTCTCACCACAGCCTAAAGTGGAAGTTTCATAGGAAAGTAGGAAAATTTTCAGTGAATAAGACACAGAATGCAATTAGGGTGTTCTCATGCATGATAGAGAACATAAGAACAAGCAGATTTACATAAAACTAATTTAAATTTCACACACTTGCTCTGTTTCCATATGCTTTAATTCTCTCCGTATTGCTTTATGCAATCCATTATTCATGTCAGTAAGTGCCACCTGAAGATTTTTTAAAATAGGAAGAATATTAGAAGCGAAATTCATCAAACTTAGGCTGTGCTCCTTGCTAAACTGTAATTCATTAACCTTCTTCTGTGCATGAATTGCTCGTGATTTCTCAATACCACTTTTATTAAAGTGAGCACCTGCTCCTTCATCGTCAGTGAGAACTGATGATTGACTCTGAAAAGCCGCAGAAGCAATCTCAGATTGAGCTAAAATACAAATATGCGTGGAGAAATTAAGAATAACTTAACCAGACAGAAAAGATGTTAAAACTATCTTTCATACGGCTATGCTTGGGAGGATGAGAATGGATGGTTTACAGAAGAAACCCACTATTTGGAAGATTTATGAAGTGTTTAGATATTTGGGATTAATATTGCAAAAGGGAAGAGAGATTGAAAAGGACTTATTACGAGTTTAGATATGTAGGATCAATATTGCAAAAGGAAAAAGAGATTGAAGAGGATGTAAACCATAGAATCAAAGCAAGTTAGATGAAATGACACAATGCATAAGGAGTTTTGTGTGATCGCAAAATCCATATGAGGCTAAAAGGAAAAAATATATAAAACAACAATAAGGCCTGCAATGTTATATTTAAATGTCAGCCAACACAACACATAAGCAGCGTAAGAATAAAATAAAAGTAGCGGAAATGGGGATGTTAAGATGGATGTGTGGTCATACAAGGATCAATAAGATAAAAAATGAAGATATTTGACGAAAGATAGAGTATTATCAAGCAAAAAGATGAGAGAATAAAAGTTGAAATAGTTTGGACATATTCTTCGAAGAATCCTCATGCTCACGTAAGAGAGCAAAAGTCTGTTACCAAGAGAATGACACAAAGAGATAAAGAGGTTAGTCAAAACTTACTTGGGGGAAAGTAGTAAATAAAACTTGATGAAGTGGGAAATAGATTGACATATGGTTTGTTTTAGGACAAAGTGGAGGAAAGCTATTAGTATTGTGGAGGTGAGAAACCCTTATTTCTTATGTTCCATATGATATTTTTTAAGTCTTTTTCCTTATATATATTTATTTATTCTCACTTATTTACTTTTATTTTCCCTCAATTTTTTCTTCCTTATTATTTAGGTTCACCGATTTCCGACTCCAACTAATTTGAGATAAAAGTGATGTTGAATGTTGATTAAGAGTGTAGTGGAGCGGGAATGAAGGGTAGTCCATCCCTCTCCGTACCTTCTTTTCTTAAAATAAAAAAAGACTTGAGTAAGTAACTTTTTACCTTCATCTATTTTTTCTTATTGTTTAGTGTGAGAGTTATACTGACATTTCAAAAGTTCTATCAACTCTGCGTGTCCCTGTCTTTATTTGCATCATCCAATCAATAGAAAAAGTTATCCATTCCATTCTCCCAAACATAGCCTACGAGTTTCAATTTATGCATCCTCTCAATGGAAAACTTACTATCACAACCTTTCACAGCAAGAAATAAACATATATAAACTCAACAACAGAATCCAGAAAATAATCACACTTACAGAGTAGCCATCATATGACCTTAAATCCTTCTGGCTTAGGGACTTTCTTAGCACTGGTCTTTGATCTGAAGCAACTGGCTTGTGCATTAGCTTGTTCCCAATATCCGTATTTTTCAGATTTGAACGACTTCTAGAATTCTGAGAATGATCTAGGTCACTCTGTATTATGCAAGATATATACATGCAAAAATACATCAATGTATTTTTTTCTTACGGAATTTATTTAACAGAATCATAACAAATTTAGTTGGAGTTCAACCACCCAAGCGGGAAGGGGTACAGTAAGTTAAAGTGCGTTGGTATCAGTATTTCTATTATAATATATCAAATGGAGCCTAGCTCCTACAACAGATCAGCAGTACCTAACTAAGAAAAACAACAAAATCAATACAGAAAAATACACTTTTCGTGTGGTGTGACCCTACTCCCCCTGAAGGCCTAACAACATGGACTCCGGAGTTCCCAAATTCGACAGCCAATTTTTTTATTTTGTTTTAGACATATTTCAATCGGTTCATCGCTTCGCGACAAGTCCGATTCGGAGTGGATCCCAGGATTAAGGTTTTAAACCCCTCCCAAAGACGATAATGGAAAAGATCCAACACATGCTCTTACCCTCACCTACTCAGTTCCCTAACGCTAAATTTCTCAATTCATGCGTATCCCCTCACATCCCCAAAGCCCCCCCCTACATAACTGCCTTTCCAGATTCCGAATGGCTGGACTTGGGTCCACTTGTCGTGCCCATCGAAGTGTAAGCAAGGTGACCTGGTTGGGATTCATTCGCAATGTCTGGACTTCGGCCCACTTGTCCTTGCAAGCAAAGTGGCCTGACTGGGATTCAATCCCACATCAAGCTTACTCGAGTAAAATCCTTTGATTACTCGAGTAAGTTATGAACCAATATCTTTAGTTCCACAAATTTCATTGGCTCCTGGAATTGAACAATATCTTTAGTGCTTAGTTGCCCAATCCCAATGTGTCTAACCATGAATTCTTTTGAATTCTCGAATTCTGATGTTTAAGCAAGTATAATTTATGCTCGTCTTATGGGAATTCGATCCAAATATGCCGTGTTTAGTTAAGCACTGTATAAATGATGGGAGCTGTCCTGATTGTTTTCAAATTGTATGATTCCAAATGAGCATTTGAACAGTAAATGTTCAATAGTTCCAGTCGGCACGGGATGTTACACTTTAGTCTCCTACGGAGCTTTGTATAAATTGAGCAGCATATATTAGTTTATGGGTTCGCTTTTTCAACAGTCTGTATAGAAATTATCTACAGTAAACTCAATACGACGTCGTTTTAGGGTAAAAATCATGGTCTTTATAATTTTAATTTATTCTAGGGTTATTATAGTCTTTATAATTATAATTTTTTAATCTTTCAATCCCAAAACAACGTCGTTTTGGGAGTAAATGCAAATAACTTATCTGCATTAACTGCAAAAATATTTTTCTGTTAGTTTAATCACACTTTATTCAATGATTAAACCTAAATGAAAAAAATAAAATAAAAATATAAAAGAATAGAAGAATAGTATTATCAAATAAAATATTAAGAAAAACACAGACTGAATGACCCTTTTATTAGATGGCAGGTTTAGCCATAAAGATTTTGTGTTTAAATAAGTTGGCAAATACAAAACAGTCTCGGCCTCTCTAAAAGCAAAACTGAACCCCCCTAAACATCGAAAGCAACAATGTGGTATTTTGTTACATGACCATTTTGTGGGAGAGAGATAGACGCAAATTTTATCAATAATTTGTTATAGGGTCCACTAGTTATATTCGAAACAAATTGTGTCTTTCTCGCTCTAACAAGACCCTCTCCTGTTATTCAATATCAGGAAAGAATCCAGATCCATTTTCTCAATTACTACGGAGATATATTTGATGAATAATTATAAGATTTCGAAATCTATAACCACATATTGAAATCAAATTCAAACCTAAAAGCAAAGTAAATTAAAGACACTTATTCAAATTAGGGAGAAAACAAAGGACTGTTAAGTTGTTACCTCAGAATCACTAATTTGGTACCGAACCACCGAAACCGATCTTCTTCTTCTCGAATTAGCATCGGAGACAGGTCTTACTCCTCCGCCACCAATACTGCTCTTTCTATCATCACCAACTCCCGAGCTCTTCCTCGAAACGGACCTCCCTCGTCTCTGCGACGCGGTGCCGCCGGCAGGACTGGCCTCGGACTCGGAGTTACCGGAAACGACGCGACCGCGATTCGCGGATTCGAAGAACTCGATGGCGAGATCGTCGAGGCTGATCTCCGGAAAGCCGGAGCCCCTGACGGTGTTGACGAACCTGCCTCTCGGTGCGGTGAGGTTGTTGTTGTCATTGTCGCGAGAAGGAAGGAGGCGGGAGGATCGGCTGAGACTCCGGGAACGGCGGTGGTGGAGGGAGGAGGAGGCGGAGTCTTCGGCGGAGGAAGTGGAGGAAGCTCCTCCGACAGGTGTTCTCTTGGTGGTAGATTTGAAAGCTGCGGTGGCCATTGGTTGAAGTTGGAGAAATTCAAAACCTAAGTTTAGGGTTCAGAATCAGAGGATTCAAATAGAATAGGGCATTTCATTCATTGCCCGTGAAGAAACGTGAACTTCGTGTCGTGTGAGTGAGTGCAATACGAAACTAAAAGAATGAGAGGGAGAACGGAGAAAACCATTGGCGGAGATGTCCATAGAAGATTTGAATAACGTTAATTATATTGGCGCATTAATTGTTATTTATTTTTTTAAATGTTATACTATTTGAACAATACCTCCTATTTTAAATTTTATGAAGGAAAATATTACTCTCGTCACATGAAATGCAGTTGTAATTTAGAGGAGAAAAAATAGAAGATAGAAAAAAATAAAAAATGGGTCACCTTTAATTTGTGAGACAATGAGAAAAATTCTCTCATATCACGTGAGAACAATATTTCTCTTTTATAAAATACTCAATATTCATAAAATTTGTTCATGACATTGATTTTACAATTACGATGGACTTGTATTTTAGCACTCATCGTTTCGATGTGGTTTTTTTAACGAGAAATATTAGCCTCATGTGATAGGAGACAACAAGTCTCTCCTACACACTCAAAAAGGTGTGGGCTCCATTTTAATTTTTTTTTTCTCTTTTCTTATACAGTGGGACTCACATAAAGTTGTGAGTGTAATATGAAATATCTTATCTTCTATTGGATAAGAAAATATAATTCTTTTTCAATTTGGTTTTTTTTTTTTTTGGCTTTGGACGATGCTATGCGTTAAAATTTTGTGGTTATGGTAAATAATGTGAAGACATGGTAAGATAAGTTATATAATTTGACTTATTTGAAACTATATTTTGTATAACATATTGAAGTTATCTATTTCATCTAATTTTACCCTACAATTATAATATAAAATTATCATCAGTTTTTTTTATCACCGGCCTGATAAGGATTATTTTATATTAGATTAGATAAAAATATAATACCTTAATACCAATTTTACCCTAACCCCTGGTCTCGTACTCTATTGTTGTAATTACCGGCCTTTTGATCATAATACTGTGAATTTTGAAATTTTGAAATTTCTTATGGAATTAATATAAAATCAAAAAAAATTACCAAATTAATATAATGAAACGCACAGAATGTGTAGTCACCATCTTGCCATTAGCCCTAAGACACTGCTCACTGATACTGTGATAATACATGACCTTCAAAATTATACAATCAAGTGTAACGTAGTAAAAATTGAGTAGTTAAAAACTTATACGTTATATAAGCGTTATTATGTCATCAAACCTTATATTATTGGGTCTTATATGTACCATTTGCCAACCAGAATTAATGCACTAAGGCTATATTTAAATATAAAATAATAAGTGAAATAGAAAGTAATGAGATGGATGGAATGAGCTGCTTTTTGGTGGCAAGAAGCATACTGATCTTTTTCCAAAATAGAAAAAAAAAGGAGTTGATAGAAAAAAAATAAAAAAGAGAGGGATAAAAATGGAATAAATGTTGGGAAAAGTGTTTGTCATTTTAAATGATATAAAGTTATGTCATTTCAAGAGAGAGACAAACACATAAAAAAATTATTTAAATTTTAAATTAAAAAAATCATTCACTTTCTCTCTCTCATGATTTTCATTTTTCTGTCTATCTCTCTTCTAAAATTACATAACTTATGTCATTTGACAAACACCAAACCCATAAATGTTTCCATTATTTATAGAAAAAGAATCTATGAATAAGTGGTGGGTAGGAACATAATAAAATTTTCCATATGGAATGGGATATAAGAGCGAAAGTGACCATTTTGTCACGTTTGGACAAAAAAATTACTAGACTGTCACGCCAACAGTAAATTTTGTCAAACTGTCACGCGACATAATTCGCTACACAGTGTAACGAATTATGCCGCATGGCAGTTTGGAAAATTTTACTGTTCGCGTGGTATTCTGGTAATTTTTTTGCCAAACATTTTGGTCACTGTCCCGATACAAGAAGAAGAAAAATTACTCATTGTTGGGATATTTTATGATAGAATGGGAAAATTTGATATCCTATTGGGAAATATTCGGAATAATATAAAAATTAATAAATAATAATTTAGTTCCATCTCACTCATATCTTTTAAATTAAGAGAGAAAAATTGAGGTATTAGATGAAATGCAATTCAAATATTATTATTTGAATCTATCTTGTCGCATTTCATTTTTTTTTTATCTCTAAAAAAAATGCTGATAAAATAGATTCAAATAATATCAACTAATTTCGTTCTACTAATTTAGTCTGCAATTTACCTCTTTTGATAAATCAAAGATAACCAAAACTATCGAATAAGAAAGATAGAACGTATTTTCATAAGAATAAACAATATTAGTTGAAAATGAAGTTAATACAGTTATAAATGAAAATAGGGATAATATCATAAAGTAGTCCGGTCAAATTACCCTCACACGATAATAATAGTTAGTTGGGTGGGTGGCAAATGGAGGTAGTTGGAAAGTTAGGTGTTTAGTAAAAGGGTTTTATTAATAGTATCTTACATAATATAAGTTTTGTTTCTAACACACAACAAAAAAGAGAAAAAGTGAAATAATGAAAGAGAAAGAAAAATATGTAGATTCCACCTCTTTAATGTGTGTGTAGAAAAATGAAGTTATATTATGTAACATAATATACATAAAACCCTTAGTAAAAAAGGAAAAAGTCGGAAACTTAAATAGTTGGAGATAGTTGCAAGTTATTAAACAATGGATATTATAATTCTCATTCAATATGAGAATTGAAATTTTTCTACACACCCTTCGATTTTTATGTTGATATAAGTCCTACATATAATTTTTTTCTAACATATGAGTCTCACATACTTTTTGTCTCTACAACATAAGATTTCAATTCTCATTCAACATGAGAATTATAAAACCCTTAAACAATACAATAGTTTTAATTATTTTAATTTTAATTAAGATTAATTTATAAAAAGTATTGATTATTGTAAATATTAAACTGGTACGAAATAAAAAAAAATTGCAAAAAGAAAAAATTCAAATATCTTAGAACCTGTTTGGAACTTTGGATTGGCTTTTCTCTTCCGAATATGTTATTTTAAAATAAAAAAGTTATTATCACTACACTCAAGTATTTAACTGTTTATTTTTTTTTTAAATACAAATAATAAATCTTTTCAAAGCTGAAATTCCTGACTTCTAAAAAAAAATAAAAGCTAAAAATCAAATATTTTTTTAAAAATCCTAATTTGCCGCAATTCCAACTCAATCAATTTCATCTCTTTCAATACCACTGTTGTTGCCGTCAATGCCACCGCCACCCAACCCCAACCCTAACCCCTATCAATTTCACCTTTGTTATTGTCACCTCCACCATTATTATCACCACCACCATTACCCAATCTCCACTACACTGCCGCCTCGGCCTCTACCTGTCAAATCTTATTCGCATAATTCAAGTTTTCACATGTCATTTTTATTAATTTTATACATATAGTGATTTTTAACTTTTAAGATCAAAATAATATATTTAATTAAAAGTATTTTTCACATACTACATCTAAATATAAAATTGCTTTAATTATTTTTTAAAAATCCATGTCATGTTGTCCCTACAAGTTTCTTGCAAGTGGGGGAGACAACAAGCTTTTTAATTGATTTTTGAATAGGTGGCTTGAGAAAAGTTTTGCAAAGAGTTTGCAGAAAGTGGCATATCTTTTTTATGGTGAAAGACTCACTAATGGGCTTTCTTCGTGGTAAAGACTTTCATAAGTGGACTTGATATTTATACCAAATCAAAACACTTTATTTATTTACATTTGTCATTCGTAGTTACTAACTTGAATTTGAATCAAACTACGGTAAGTTGACTGAAAGTGAACATATATTCGATTCTCTTCAATAATATCTTTTATAAGACTTTAAAATCTTAAACTTAAATCCACCCCAAATACTGAAATACATATGGTTTATAAAAATAAAAAAATAAAACCTGTATTTAATAGTTTTACTCCAATGAACTAGTTAATGTCTCAGCTCCCATTGCTTTTTCTATCGTTTGTTTTTTTAAAAAAAAAATTATTTTCAGCCAATTCAAATTTCTCCTCTCCTTCTATACAAGTTCTTCAAACATGTTTTTTTTCTAATAAAAAAATTGAAATGACTCTCCGGTTAGCAGACATAGACGGGAAGAGTGGGAAGAGTTCAGAGTAGAGGGAGGGAAGTCAGCATTTCTTTAGCAATCACACAGTACCCAAAATACACCTTCAAGTTCCTATGAGAAGATTCATCTACCAAATTGCAATAAGGTATTCTAAAAAGACCCCAAAGTACACCTTCAAGTTCCTATGAGAAGATTCATCTACCAAATTGCAACGAGATATTCCGACATGCCACAATCTTCAGCTTCATTGAAAAGGTCCCCATTTGCCATGAAAGCTAAGGTTGATGTAACAATACTAAAGGCTTCATAAGGTGATTTTTGCCCTCATGCACAGAGGGCCATGCAACCAAAGAATAAATTTGTAAGTTAGCTAATATTATTTTGTAGAATATATACTTTCTTAGGGCAGTATGACTGTTCTTAGTTTTTAAACATGTCATAATCTGCATTGGTAAGGGCAGAGGTTAAGTGAGGACGTTAAAAGAAGGGTTTTATGTTTATCCCTGGTCAACTGCTTTTACCATCAAGAGAACAAGCAATTTTGGAGAAAACGGAGTGAATTTTCCTGGTGATTTTGTTAGGGTGGTGACAGATTCTATTTCGTTATTTCCAGTTTTTCTTTCTTTCTAAATAATAATTGGGGTTTGTTGACCACCTTTCACTCCTAAACCTGTTCCTTAGGCTGTGAATCCATGATTGGTTATCCTTGACGGAAAAAGGATGAAGCCTTTCACTCCAAACTCTACTAGAACCACCGATGAAAAAAAGAGGATGGCAAATCATCTTCCATCACAACAGATAAAATCCAAGTACATCAGCGAATATATAAAAATCCAAAAACTCCATCCCCTCCACGAGAGGCAGCAAAAAAGCCAAAAAAAAAAAAAAAAGAGTTAACATTCCCCAGAGAGCAACACCACTGGTTCTGGAAACCAGTTTATTCAGACTACTCATTTTAACATGAACACGAAGCTAAATTGCAGCTAGACATAAACATACGGTATTCATATGTAGGCCTGGCTAATTTGCAGTACCACTTTAGTTTGAAATCTTTGAAATCTTGGCAACGTGAGCAATCAGGTCAACCACGCGGGTGCTGCACCGACCACAGACAAAACAACCAATTAGATCTAACTGAATTAATAATAAAGCATCAGCACGTATCGTGAGAATTAGATCTTAGCTAAATAATTAACAATTAACATATTGGGTGAATTCATTATCAAAATCTGTGTCAACAACTCCATGCAACACTACCACATAACAAATCATATGCCAAAAAAGGTTAAAGATGGATTACCTGTAACCCCACTCGTTGTCATACCATGACACAAGTTTCACAAAATTAGGACTCAAAGCAATTCCTGCCTTCGCATCAAAAATGCTTGACCTGTATCAATGGTAAAAAAAAATTAATACAATAATTTGACTTAATTCGAATATAAGACAATTCCTTAACTACAAGTCTACAACCACTCCTTAACTACGAGAAAGAGGTAGACGATTATATAAACTGAAAAAATAAAATAAAATACAGGCATCATCACTACCAGCAACCATGTTCGTTCAACAACTTAACTCTGGACATAATTTATACCTGTTATCACCGACGAAGTCAGTGGAGACTACGTCATCTTCAGTGTAACCAAGAATTCCCTTCAACTTGCCCTCTGACTCTTCCCTGAGAAAGACACAATTTAAGTCAGACAAGCCAAAAGAGAAGGAGCATACACAAAATACAAGTACTTTCCCTGACATAACCTGCATACGATCAAAAATATAATACTGCAGTATTATTAGTGTCCTTACTTGATAGCACTTTTAATCTGGTCATAGGTGGCTGCCTTCTCCAGCCTCACTGTGAGATCAACAACAGAGACATCCACAGTAGGAACACGGAATGCCATTCCAGTCAATTTTCCATTCAAAGCAGGAAGAACTTTCCCAACAGCCTAGACACAAAAGAATAAGATAAGAAAACCAGAAATTTGTAAACACACAATATCCGGTTGGTGGTAATGATCAAGAAAATCCACACATATAGTGTCAAATATTCATTCACCTTGGCAGCTCCAGTACTGCTAGGAATGATGTTAAATGAAGCAGCTCTTCCACCTCTCCAGTCTTTGCTGGATGGCCCATCAACAGTTTTCTGGGTGGCTGGTTTGCAAAACAAAAAAAGAGAAACTTAAATTAGCAAGTAGCATAATAAGATAGAGTCAACGAGTAAACCAACAAGCAATAGGCCCACCGGTTATAGAATGAACAGTGGTCATCAAACCCTCAACAATGCCAAACCTATCATTAATAACCTACAAAATTAATAAGAAACAATTAGGACCATATAACAGTCAAAATCACCACAAAAATTCCAATGCAGAGAATAGAACTTGGAACCTTTGCAAGTGGAGCAAGGCAGTTGGTTGTGCAGCTAGCATTAGAAATAACATCAAGCTCTGACTTGTACTCGTGCTCGTTAACACCAACGACAAACATGGGAGCATCCTTACTTGGGGCCGAAATAATAACCTTCTTTGCACCACCCTGGATTAAAAGAAACAGACACATTAAATTCAACCCTACACCAAACAAAACAATAAAAAACACCCAACAAAAGTCACAAATCGAAAGCAATTAAGCATCAGGCTACAGTTCATTATAAAGACACAGCATAGCCAAAGAATAACGCAAGCTTCAAATTAATGGCATCAGAAACACAAACCTTCAAATGAGCAGCGGCCTTCTCCTTGTCTGTGAAAACTCCGGTGGACTCAACGATGATATCAGCTCCAGTCTCACCCCAAGGGATCTCCTCAGGGTTTCTACGGATTCAACAAAAACGACAAACCGTTTAGAGAATAACTCTTGAAACATTTACAAGCAAAGCACAACAATCCATAACAGAAAAAAAAAAAAAAAAAAAAAAAACACCTGTGTCCAAACACGGCAACTGCCTTCCCACCAAAGAGAAGAGTCTTTTCGTCCTTGACGGTTACATCGGTATGTTTCCAGTGGCCGTGAACACTGTCATACTTAAACATGTAGGTCTGCGCAAACAAACACAGTGAACCAACAAGTTAAGAATCAGATCTACTACGATTTAAATAAAAAATAATAAAAATGAAATCATAACACTCGGATTAAAATAAAATAAATTATTTTGCTTAGTTACTGAAGGTGAATAGAGATTAAAGGTAATAGGTTGACTTATACCATGTAATCAGTGGAAATGAAAGGATCGTTGACGGCAACGAGTTCAACATCGTCTCTCTGCAGAGCAACCCTGGCCACCAAACGGCCGATTCTTCCAAATCCTGTTACATGAAAATAAAATAAAAAAATAAAATAAAAGTAAGAAAAAACATACGAGCCGATCTGAAGCAATAGAAGCGAGATCGAACGAAGGAGATGAGTTACCGTTGATTCCGATCTTGACCTTGCCTGATCCACATCATTCAACCAAAAACAAAAAACAAAAAAAAAACAAGAAGAAAAAATCAGATCTGGTGAATTGAGTAGAGTAATGAATGAAAAGAAGAAAGAAAAACATGAAATAGTGGTGAGTATTTACCCATGAGTGCAGAAAAAGGAGAGTGAAAGCGAGGTACTGTGGAGTGAGTAGGAAGAAGAGAGAGTGGGTGAGAGGAAATGAGAAGAGAAGCGTGAAGCAGGGTTTTATTTAAGTAATGAGGTAAAGACCGCAATTGTAGGTGAGTGCTCGAAAGTGGAAGTGCGTGACACCAACAGGACCAGCGCATGACCCGTGATACTGCACCACGGTTTTTTATTTCTGTATATTAAATTATTCAAGCAATAATTATAAAAAAATCTAAAAAATATATTATTGACTTTTTTAACATGTTATTTGTATGATTAGTGTTTGTAGGAGATAATTTTATCTGCTATACATATATAAAAATACGTGAAACTAGTATTATTTGCATGTATGAGAGATGGAAATTGATCGTCTTATATTAAAATTTCACATGACCTAAAAATTACTTCTGTGGATGTAGCAGCACGTGAGGGCACGCGAGCGAAAAAAATATTGTCTGCCATGGCTTTTTGTTTTTCTCTTCATGGGGACGAGATGGCTGCACCGATTCAATTTGGTGCAAGCGAGTAATCCAAAGGAGGTCCGGTGACAACAATAGCAGAGGAGGATGACAAGCTCCATTGAAAGAACAAGATGAAGGGGAAGGTAGAGGGCAACGCCCATGCGAAACCTGTAGGAAATTTCAGGGTTTTTACTGCTAGCGAAACTTTGAGGAAAGAGAGGTTTCGAGATGCACTCTGGAAGGAAAATCGTGTTTCGGGGGTCAGTAAGGGTTTAGAAAGCCTATTTTATGATGATAATGAGCTGTTAGATGAAGCAAAAGGAGAAATTTCGATCTCGGGGTTCCAATCGATTGTTAAGGAGGATGGAATCGTGAATGTCAAATGTTCAAAGGAAGCAAAGAAACAAATGAGATAAGGTTGGGAGAAAGCTCTGATTGTCAAACTTCTGGACAAAATGGTTGGGGTTACATTCAAGAATAAGAGGTTGGAATCTGTACCGTTTGTGGTCTATAAGCCCACTATGTTCCATTCTGGGATTGAGTCATTGTATGGGTTATACCTCTAGCACAGGTAGAGACCAAGCTAGGAGATACAGTCCCAAGTATGAAGCTAACAGATGTTAATGGGGATTGGGTGTGAGTGTGTATGACTCAAGATAAATGGGCAGAATAACGATACATAAGAGGCCTCTCATTGTGTGTGGAGAGGGGTACTTATAGGGGAAGGTGACTTGATCCTGAGTGGGTTGGTGAGGAGGGGGTCAACTCTCCTTGGGATTAGCTTGGGGTGGCAGACACTGCTATGATAGAAGTGATGCACCCTTTGTGCCTGGCGATGTCAGCATGTGACAAAAGGCAGTTATCACTTATAGTATCCGAGGCGGTCTCATTGGGAGTTATGATCCCAAGATGATACATTTCGGTGTCTCATCTAGGGAGCGTCGTCGCCTTGAGGGTAGGGAAACTGAGGGTTGTTAGGGCTGACGTGAACAAGGGGTTTGGGCTTAAGCCTTTGGGCCATCCGGAACAAGAGCCCCCAGCTTGGTAGCAAACGTAGGTTGGTGCCAAGATAAATGGTCTTGGGTGATATTCTCTAGCTGGCGATCTGAGCGGTTGGCGGGGTGAAGGTCTCTTAGTGATTTGGTGATGATGTAGGTTTCTTGGTGGTTTAAGGGGGGTTCCGTGCCTGGCGACTTGGCTTCTTGGCGGGTCATGTGGCTCGCGGGTGACTTCCTAGGTTGTCCACCTGTCTCTGGCAGGAAAAATGGCTTTTCAGTTTTCGAGGGACAGTAATGATGGATGCCTCCATCATTGCTATTAATTGCAGGCACTCAAACGTCACGAAGAACAGCGCATTAATGCGATGTGAGGGGTGCCTTGTCCCCCAGTAATTACCATAGGGTCCTTAATCACAATCGCTTATTGTCTGACGGTTGTGTTATCCTACGGTCAACGTTGTGGGGCGCTACACGTGTACGCCATCCTTATCCTTTTGGCCCTATGTAAAGGGGGTTTTCCCCTCTATGAAACCTTCTTCGCTGATCTCTGGCTCTTCGTGCTCTTGCCTTCTCCCTTCTGTTTTTCCCTCTTCTGTGTGAGTGGTTGCGTTGATCCTTTTTTCTTCCATTCTTCCTACCTCTACAGTTTTCATTACCTCATGTACAGTGTTTATGGCTTGTAACTTCTGTTATTACTTTACTTTCCTTTGGCTTTGTTTCTGTTCTCTTCTTTCTCGTGATGGTCGAGTTAAAGGACTTGACTGGTTTGGTCTTGCCTGAGCTGGGGGTGGTTGTTAAAGAAGAGGAGTTTGATGAAGCTTTTGATACGGTGAGGCTCCTGGTTTGATGAAGCTGGGGGTGGTTGTTAGGGCCTGTGGTTCCGTATTCTGGTGAGACTCCTGGTTCTGGTCTCCGTGGTGGGCGTCAGGCCGTAACTGGTGGGAGGGCTTCCAGATCTGATAGGCACCGGCCTACCAGATCTAGGAGGCGACGGTCTGGTGAGTCTGGTAGTGGTGTTAGGCCTCGCCCTTCGCGGAGGAGGCATTCCAGGTCTTCTGATCGTTCTTATGATCGTAGGGTTGGTTCGCGTTGGCTGAGGGTGAGAACCGTCTCAATCCAACACATGGCGGGGGTGAGAACCATCCCGTAACTTGGATGTTGGTTGGGGGTGAGAATGTTCCAGTCCAACGCATGGTTAAGCCATCTACCTTACGCCACATCTCCCTGAGGCGATCGTCCTGGGCAAAGCAACGACTATCGGTAGCAAGGGCAATCTCTTGGTTACCCAAAATTCGACTAATGACCACTTGCGTACAATTAAGGATTTCCTGGCAGTTGATCTGGTCCGGCACCGCCATATTCAGCACAAGTTTTGGGAAACTGGAGTCGAGATCCCTTTCCGACAAGGTTAGGACTCTGCCGACTAGGATTACCGCAGGTAAAAGAGTTTTATGTGCACCTGCCGCCGCCAGGAGCCCTTCGCCATCTGGAGTACTGGTCACCATTACCCCCACCATCACCTGAATCTTCAAAGAAACCGCTTATGCCATAGCAGTCGTTATCCGTCAACTTGCATCACTGCTATCATAGCAGTGTCTGCCACCCAAGCTAATCCCAATGAGAGTTGACCCCTTCCTCACCAACCCACACAAGATCAAGTCACCTTCCCCTATAAGTACCCCTCTCCACACACAAGGAGATGGCTGCACCTATTCAATTTGGTGCAAGGGAGTAGTCCAAAGGAGGTTCGGTGACAGCAATGGCAGAGGAGGATGACAAGCTCATTTGAAAGAACAAGATGAAGGAGAAGGTAGAGGGCAACGTCCATGCGAAACCTGAAGGAAATTTCAGGGTTTTTACTGCTAGCGAAACTTTGAGGAAAGAGAGGTTTCGAGATGCACTCTAGAAGAAAAATCGTGTTTCGGGGGTCAGTAAGGGTTTAGAAAGCCTTTTTTATGATGATAACGAGCTGTTAGATGAAGCAAAAGGAGAAATTTTGATCTCGGGGTTCCAATCGATTGTTAAGGAGGATGGAATCGTGAATGTCAGATGTTCAAAGGAAGTAAAGAAACAAATGAGACAAGGTTGGGAGAAAGCTCTGATTATCAAACTTCTCGACAAAATGGTTGGGGTTACATTCAAGAATTAGAGGTTGGAATTTGTACCGTTTGTGGTCTATAAGCCCATTATGTTCCCTTCTGGGATTGAGTCAGTGTATGGGTTATACCTCTAGCACAGGCAGAGACCAAGCTAGGAGATACAGTCCCAAGTATGAAGTTAACAGATGTTAACGAGGATTGGGTGTGTGTGTATATGACTTAAGATAAATGGGCAGAATAACGATACATAAGATGTCTCTCCTTGTGTGTGGAGATGGGTACTTATAGGGGAAGGTGACTTGATCCTGAGTGGGTTGGTGAGGAAGGGGTCAACTCTCCTTGGGATTAGCTTGGGGTGGCAGACACTGCTATGATAGCAGTGATGCACCCTCTGTGCCTGGCGATGTCAGCATGTGACAAAGGGCAGTTACCACTTATAGTATCTTGGGCGGTCTCATTGGGAGTTATGATCCCAAGATGAGACATTTCAGTGTCTCATCTAGGAAGCGTCGTCGCCTTGAGGGTAGGGAAACTGAGGGTTGTTAGGGCTGACGTGAACAAGGGGTTTGGGCTTAAGCCTTTTGGGCCACTATGGCGTTGGGCCATCCGGAACAGAATCCTTATAGGCGAAACAAAAAAGCATCAATGTGGCAAATTTTGGTCATGATTTTTATATGACCAAATTTTCTAATATGGAAGATATGTCATTGGCTGTTAGTGGGGGTTCTTAGGTTATTTTGGGGCACTAACTTGCGGTGAGAGCATGAGAACCTCTATTCAACCCAAGGAAAGTGTAACACCTCGTCTGCCATTGTCGCTGGTGTATTAACATACATATGATACTTTGCACAACAAGGTTAGTTAAATAAACGCGGAAGCTCTTTGTTAGATTCATAATTATCTGATATATTCTCAAGTGAATAAACCTTTTCCTTTTACCTTATGTATCATAATTTACGAAATAACATAATATAAGTCCTTTATTCTATGTCTCGTCCATATTTATCTTATAGTTTCAAGTATATAAGGGTCCCTTTGTCTCATAGTTCCATTGTCTTAGAAACATAACCAGAATAACGATAATGTACTCGTATTGTAATCAAGCATGCCTAATAATCCATTATATAAGGCATCATAACCAGAAATACATATCATGTCTCATATTAATAAACAACATGACTAGTCATGGTATTACATCAAGTAATCATGACAAAATCCATACTCAGGGGTGTAAACCTATACATGTTCTCAAATCAACAATAAATAAGATTATTTAATCATGACATAGACAACCCTTATGCTCACATCAAATAAAATATACACAATATGACAAATAGTATTCATGTCTCAAGTAAATATAGACATGTCACATAACAACAATGCATGTCATGCAAATATCTCTACTCTGGCCTCTTGCCTCGTGATGCACCCATCTCATAAATCTCAACACCTGAAAAATGTTCCCCGAATGGGGTGAGATGACAATCTCAGTAAACAAGGGGTTCTCGAAGGATTCTTTCTCCTCCAAGTTCATTTTAAATATAATCA